CGATAGGTGTTGATTTTTCTTTTTGTTTTACTTTGATATACCTCAATTAATAACAATTTCTGTCTACTGATTTCTTATTTCAACGATGCGATGAACGATAATGGCTGGTGAAAAGTATGGAAGGGAATGTGGAATTTTTTGGTAACAAATGTTGAATATGTAAAATGAATGTTAGTGATTGATTCACCAATGAACTCAAGCGGTCGCTATAAATGATTCACATGATTTTTTTTTATGGAATTCTTGAAGATGTTATTGATTTCGCTAGTGATGTAATGTTTGTGCTTAGCGATTTCAACTACTTTTTGTTATATATATTTGTGTTTGTTTGTGTTAAATATGGACGCACTAATGCTCAGGCAATGGTGCCTTTAGCAAAGACTACTTGCGTTCTTATTGAGAACAAAAAAACTCTGCAAAAATATAAATTCTTGTGTGTGCGCATGTAACGAAATTGAGTGGATATATGGTGGTAGAAGGAATTTTCAAAGCAATAAAATGTGGTTGTCAAAATTACAAAACACAAATGTTGCTCGAGTCAAACCAACGAACGAACAAACGTAATTTTTTTGCATACTTAATTTTTTCTCTTTTCTGTGTTGGTTTATTGTTTGTTGTTTAGAAACTTAATGCCTGGCCACGCATTTCAGTCACGACTTTGTAATTATTATTTTTTTATTCTTGTCATATTCGAAATATATTTACAATCTTTTAATATGACACATTAATCTTGATTTTATGATTTCTTACATTTTTGGCTCCTATAAAATATGAAATAAATATATTGAATTCGGTAATTATTGTTATAGTAGGTTTGTAGTTGCATTGCTGTATGAATGAAATCGTGTGCGATTTGGTGGTGAAATGAGAACTAAAATTCGTATGAAGGATTCATGAAGTTGTGCAGAAAATTTAAGAATAGTTATGAGCTTGGCTGATCATTCTACATAAATACAGTAATTTAATGGGTGATTACTCGTTCTCATGGATATTCGTTTCGTTTCAATAACTGCTAACTAAGGCTAATTTTTCAATGCACGTCTTGCATGGGTTTGAACACAAGATTTTAAAGGTTAGGTAAATATACTAAGTATGAGCAAAATTAATATCAAATGTGTCGAATTTTTTTTTTTCGCTGTATACCTCAGTTCTAAAATGAACTATCAATCTAGAGTATTCCTTAAGGGAATAAAAGTCAAAAAAGTAAATTGAACAAATAAATATATTGGGTGAACAGTTGTGGGCATAGCAAATTCAAAAGCATTGCATCAAAGGCAATTGAAAAGAATAATTTAATTTGTAGTATTTGTTGTAAAAATAAGATATTTCAAAAAAATACCATCTCTTTGGACATAAGTTTCGCATTACTAACAATATTGACAGCTTTGGTTAGGAAAATAATAAATTATGTTTCAGATTACTTCAGGTCTTTAAAAAATCTGATGACAAGAGCTATAGTAAGTTTGTACTAGTATTTATAAATATTTCTGTACTCCTCACCAACACATTTGACATTTATTTTGCAACTTTATGAAAATAACTAATTTTTGCACTATAAACAAAATGCTTGTTCAATATTACTGTGTACATGTATGCATATGTTGTTGTAGTTAATAAAATAAAACAAGTCAATAAAAATAATGGGTGCTCTACGCTTACTGCGTTTTGTTCTGCGTTTACCTCAGAAAGTCCTATTATGCCTTGTATGAAAGTAAGCTAGCTTAAAAGTTATTGCCTCTGCCTATAAAAACTAGTTTTGTTTTAAAAGCTATATACGTAATATGTTTTGTAGCTTCGAGAAAACGGCGTAACTCAAAAAAACTTAATTTTCGTACAGACACACACAAAAGTGAAAACTCTTTATATTTAAAAACATATCACATTTTTGTATATTCAAAACCATTTTGATAACGTTGACCACTTAGAAAGCTAAACAGTTTATTGAAAACGTTGCAGCGATTCGTTTTGTCATCTCTATGAGCGCGAAATTCGTGTTGACTTCCCTTGCTGGCAAGTCTCTTCATTACATCA